AGCCGGGACACTGGTCTCCGGCTGTTGGCTTTTGGACATAGACTGACTGGATCGCTCTTCTGGTTGTCAGGTATAAGTAAACGCTTATGGTTATGGTCAGCAAGAGATCCTATTTCATATCCACATGGAGATGTGGAGCAAGCGGGTAAACGAGATCGAGAGGGAGGGAGAGTAGATTAGATCTTTGAACTGAATTTGAATCCTCCAAATCTGTCCCCTGACCCAGTTCAAGCCGGCCTTCTCTACACAACTGCTGAAACGGAATCCTTTCACAGTCCTGGGCTCCACCTCCATCCCTCTTGGAGATCGCTCCTATCCTTGGTTTCTCTAGAAAGTTCACATAAGCTCCAGAATTCCTAAACCCCCTCTCCTCCAACTCTGTGGTCCTCTAACAAAGGGGAGCCTCACTGCAAGGTCCAGGGAGTCCTGAGTGGAGGGGCGCCCCCACCCAGCCCAGGCAAAGGGGGCCGCACTGCAAGGGACGGATTCATCCTTGGCTCCCTTCATCCACACAGAGTGCTCCTGGTCCCCCAGAAAGCTTCACCCCGAGGCCCCTCACGCCAGCTTCCCTGAGGGGCTTGGACACCACACCCACCAGGAGGTAGGGTGGAATGGATGGGGGGGATGTCCAGGCAGGACCAGCTTCCTAGCTGAGCTCACCTCTTACCATCTGGTGACTTGGGAAGTCACTGTCTCCGAGCCTCATTTTCCCCGTCCGTAATACAGGACTAGGTGCTACTACTGCCTTATGGGATTGCTGAGAATAAGATGCACCTACCACAGTGACCGGTGCTTGGTAATAAACGTCTGTGGAAAGCAGGTCTCTTAGACTCCATTCCCCACTCCCAGCCAGCTTTTCTCCTTTCGGAGAGACTATTTTACTCCTGTGTTCCTCCTGTCCTTCAGACGCCAAATTTTACTGTGGACATGGGTGACCAGGGAAATGGTTGCCAAGGGCAGGGCTTTTGGAAAGGCTGCCTGTTGCCTAGGAAACTGCCCCACTCCTGGGTCCCTGGGGGTCCCACAGGTTGATGGGTACTGGCGCCACCTGCTGGATGAAGTGCCACACTGCTCTTAAAGCACTCAGACCAGGGATTCCCTCTTCTGCAAGCAGGGAAGGTGCTCTGCCCCTGCTCCTCTCCCCCCAGTATCTCCACCATGAAAAGTCCTTTCCTCCTTTGTGTCCCTAGATATTCCCAGAGACCAGAGGCATGGGAAGGAGTTAGAAGCATCGTGGACCATGGGAGGGATGGAAGCAGCGCAGCATCCTTCCCCACATGGAAGGACCGAGGGCTGAGGATTCCTGGTAGTGTCGGGTCCAAATGAAGTTCCTCCTTTCAATTGATTTCCTGGAGCCTGGAAAATATTTTGTTCCCCAGTAGCTTTTGTCAGAGGAGCCCCTTCTTGCCTCAGACCAAGCCCAGGGGGCAGAAGAGAAGCAGAAACCCCCTCTGAGAAACCACGTCTCCTGAGTTGAACGGAGGCAGCCCCTGCCTGCCCTTGCCCTGATGTGTAGGGTCAAAACACAGGAGGCTGTTGGGATGCCTGGGGCGGGGGGTGGGGACGGGGACTTCTTTCCCCGGTGAGGATCATGAGTAGAGAGACTAAGGCACCTAGAGAGGGAAAGGCTGATCTCTACCTGTGCCAGGCTAATACTGCATCCTGTTCCCATACCTTACCTCTTCCCTGACACTAGCTGGGCTGGGGGTACAGCTCCCTTGGGAGCCAGACACCCTGGCTCTCAGCCCAGAGACTCCTGTTGCCAGTGGGCTTAAGAGGGGGTAGGGCAGGAAGTTGGGACCAAGGGCTCTTGGGTCCCCAACCCTATCTTCCTTGCATATCTGAGCTGGAAGGGAAAGGAGGCTGGTGAAGGTGACCCTGACACCCTGCAGGTGAGGATAACAGTTGTAGGAAGCAGGGTTCTGGAGCTGGGACCTGCTAGGTAGGTGTTGCCAGCAGTTGCACGCTTTGACCCTGGCCCTACCTCTGACCAGACACCCTGCTCAGCTGGAGGTGGAGGGTTGCTGGGGGAGGGGGGTGAGGTGGAGAGAACTGGCCCCCTAGCCCCCTAATAAGGGAGGGGTCTATGTAAAAAGGGAGAGGGGGCACAGATCCAGAGAGGTTGGGGTCGGAGTCTGGCTCTTACAAGCTAGGAGGGGTCGTGAAGGAGAAAAAAGCTTTAGTGTGAGGGTGGAGGGAGGAGCTGCCTCTTCCCCCTCTCTTCCCTCTCTCCCCCCTCTCCCCATGGTTCATCTCTCTTCCTCTCTAGACCCCACCCCCCCATGTGACGAGATGGGATGGAGAGAATTGAGTCGTACACAGCTGGGGTGCTGATCCCTCTCCAGGTTGGCTGCCCACCCACTTCCTGACTGGCACTAGAACCACAGAAGCTGAAAGAACCTTCAGAGGGCTAGTCTGGTCCCTCCCAAGCTACCAGGTCAAGCCACATGAGTGCCCTTGTGCTCAGCCTGCAGATGTGGGGGGAAGGTGGGGCCACAGTTGAGGGCCACCCACCACCCCTCCATCTGTCCTCCAGGGTGGGCCGACCATGGCCGCACTGCTACCCACCAACTCTCTGACTCCATTCACCTGTACTGCAAGCCGTACCCCCCGGAGTCCCCTGGGCCTCTGCCAACAGCATCCACTCCGGCCCTGGCTAGGCCAAGTAGCTGCAGCTCTACCCAGCCTGTGGTTCTGATGTGCCAGCTGTGGAGAGTGCCGGGCCACTTCCTGTGCCTGCACCGGAGCCTGGGCCAGACTGCCTGGGAGCTGGCGTTGTGCTGGGGGACTGGGGCACTGGCCAGCTGCCTGCTGGTGGTACACACCCTCTCCCTGCATGGCTAAACCCCTGTTGCCGCCCACCACCCAAGACCTGAGCAGCACAGGGCCCAGTGCCTATGTGGCCACATCTGCAACAGCCCGGTGGCAGTCAGCCTGGAGAGCATGCAGCTAGCTAGGTGAGTGTGGCAGGGTGAGGGTGAGGGGGTTCCTGGGCCACACAAACCAGGCTAGACCCCACGTGGACACATTCTGCTGACCCTGGGGTCTGCGATCTGCATCCGTCCCAAATGTGGCTCCAGACTGTCTCTGAATGTCCATCTGACGTGGCCCTCCTACCCAGAGCAACTGTCCCTTTGTCCCATCTGGGCCTCCCCTACTGTGGCCGAATCATACAAGCCAGAGTGAGCATGTTGTCTGGGGCGTGCATTCATCGCCAGCCTCCATTCCTTTGGGGAAGGGGAGGGTGAGTAGGACATGGGAAGACTGATTTACTGAGCACCCCATAACCTTCCACGCACTTCTCACGTAATCCCCGCAGCTCACGCACGAGGTAGGTGCTGTGTCATCTGAAACTCTTTTCTTACGGCATGTGCTTTGGCAAGTCTCAGAAATCATGTAATTGGATTCACAGATTTCCTCCTTAACGGTGATTCTCTAACTTGGGGATGTGTCAGAATCACCTGGGCCTGAGTGATAATTCAGAAGCCCAGAACCTATCCTACTTCAGTGAGCCTGAGCATTTTTTTTTTTTTTGTTCCCCAGGGGATTCTGATACACACACACACACACACACACACACACACACACACACACACACACACACAGAATTTAAGGACCATTGTGCTTGAACTCCCTCCAGAAGAGCCAAAGTAAGGCTAACAAACCTCAAGTAAGGTGAAGGTCATTGTTACAAGGTAACCCATTCTATTGGTCAGCTCTCCTTGGCCAGTTAGGTCTAGCTCAAAAGCAAAATACACCCTTGAGGCAGAGTGACTTTATATTTCTTTAAAAACCCTTAGATCTTATTCCTCTCAGGTGCTGGTCAAGCTGATTCTTGTACAGTTCTTGTAAACCAACGTGAAAGACTAAAACACGGCCTCATTTAGGTCCGTCCCTTCTCGGTTTTTACCATCCCCATGCATGCATCTTTCTCCCACCAAGCTCCATCACCTCGGACTCTGAGGTGCTCCCTGAGACCACAGACGCCAGGGGGCAAGGCCTCCAGAGACTCCCAATGACCCAGTCACTTTGCAACAACTCCTGGAGCAGTCATTGAACTAGCTCTGAGCCTACCCAACAGTCCTGCCCTCCAGTTCTTTCCTTCTCATCCCTGAAGATGCCACAAAGCTGGAAAATGCCACAGTGAAAGGCTGGCCCCAGACCAAGGGGCTCTCAGGAAGGGCCTGGGAGAGGGTGGGTAGTGGCAGGGCATGCCGAGGGTAGCCTGAGGCAACCCCCCACCCCCACCCCATCCCCAGCAGTCCCAGGAATGTTTCTAGCTGTTCACTACCCACACGCTAGGGCCTCCTACATCCTTTGCTCATTGCTGCCATTGGAGCCTTCAGGCCATCTTCCTTGCTTCTGCTCCTGAGTGCTGTCTGCGCCTTGGTGGCACAGCTGTGTGCCCAAGGACCAGCTGTAACAACAAAGGCAGAGGAGGGCAATGTGGATGTCCCCGGACCCCCAACCCTAGGGATATTCAGCAGCCCGTGTGTCCCTGCTGTCCCCATCAGGAGGGGTTGGAGGCTGCGACCCAGGTGCTGAGCTGCAGATGAACAGTGGGAGCTACCCCACTCTACCTGGTACCCACACATGTGTCTCAGCTGATGACCCTGCAGGCCCTAGGCTCAGCGGTCAGGGTCACGGCCACGCTCTACTTGTGCCTGTGTCCAGGCCGCACCGTTCGGCATTACGGGGGTGCGGTGGGTACCCCCGGGCAGCCACAGTGAGGCTCCTGATCCCAGTCTTCTACAAGCACGACCTCTGCCACACCACCTGCGTGAGCTGCTGGCCACTGGCCCGGGACACCTCCCATCTCGCGGCCCACCTGTGCCAGTACCCCCTCAAGTACCGCAACGCCCCCCTCACCCTCCTGGGGAGGCTGGGCCTGGAGCCCCTTGCCCACCGCCCCCAGCCCAGCTCTGACGGGGGCTCTGGGCTCCAGCTCACCACCAGGATAGGGGCCAGCTGCCCAGTGGACAAGGGGCAGAGACAGGATGGCAGAGGTATTGAGACCTCTTGATTTATTCAGGTTATTTAATATACAATGACGCAACTGTGACCCCAAAGTGTGCAAAGTTAAAGCCTCTGACTGCAGCTGAGAGGAGAGGGCAGGAACGGTACACCTGGGGGTGGCGGGGAGCCAGGAATGACAGGTAGCCTCCTCCCCAGGGCCAGGAACAGGGGGAGTGGCCTGAGGAGCAGGGCCCGGGGAGCCTAGGGCCAGGGGAAGGGGGCAGAGACCTCCCTCTGGCCTAGGTCAGGGGCCCAGAAGTGCCACGTGGCTGAGGGGGCAGCAGCCAGGGAAGGGGCCAGAGGCAGGGCCAGGAGAGCACCATATCTGGGGTGGGGTTTGGGGAGGGAGGTGCCCTACAGAAGCCAGGAGGGGCCACCTGCCCCAGGGGTGGGAGCCAGGCCGGAGCAGGCTGCAGCGAGAAAGACCTGAGGCAGGCACAGGGCCTGAGAGCCCAGGCTGGCTAGGCTCAGGGGGACTGAAGGAGGGGGGGCCCCGGGGGGCTCCCAGGGCAGCCGAGCCCCAGGACCAGTCCTGACTCTGCAGGGGAGGGCCAGGAGGGGCCACAGACCCTCAGAGGCTCCCCTCCTCTCTCCCTGGAAAGGAGCTGGGGAATCCGTAGTGCAAATCTATGGACCGCTCAGTTATGGAGGGAGGCTGTGCTCAAAGGGGCACCCTGGGGTGCACCCCCTCCACTGCCCCGGCTTCCACCACCATCCTCAGTACAGCCGCTTCTCGTAACTGTGGGGACAAGGCAAGAAGGGAGCCAAGAGTGGGTGTGTGAACCCTGCTCCCTTCCCAAATCCCCTCGCCATTAGGCCTTGGGCTGCTGGGGTGGCCCCATATGGGAGGCAGGAGGGGGAAAGAGCAGGCCCTGTGCCTGTCTTCCCCAGGCCAAGGCCCCTCAAAGAACCATGCCGGGTCCAGACACAGCCATGCTCCTTCTGGCCACAGCTACAGCTGAGTAGGCCGTCCTCGATGCTGGGGGTGGAGACAGAGCTCAGGACGGCACAGTCCATCCTCCTGGAGCAAGCTCAGAACAAGCTGAACCTCTGCTGCCCATGTCTCTGCCTCACCCCTGCACGCACCGTGGCCCCTGTGGTCCCTGGGTCCAGTCCAAGAGAGGGAAGCCTCAGGCCTGAGGTCAGGGACAGCTCTCGGCACCTCCGCTGGAGGAGGGGCTCCTGTCGGCTGCCCCCCGCACAGTGGTAGCCCTAAGGTCCATGTCCCATGATTATACCCCAGTGCCGCCCTCAACCCAATGCCCCCCGCCCTGGGCCCAGGTCCCACCCACACTGCCCCTGCTCTACTCTACACTTGGCCCCGGGCAGCGCGGTTACTTACACGGCAGAAAGGTATAGCTACAGGAGGATGGGGCAGAAAGAGACACAGGTTAGATGCTGTCTCTGCCTGGGCGGGCAGGCCCTCTCTCAACCAGGGCGGGGATGCATGCCTGCAACTATTGCTGCCAACTAGCACTGCTCCCGCCCACAGTGGCCCCGGCACCAGCCCTGGCGTCTGTCTCTCTGCCCCTTCTCCCCGCCAGAGGGCTCGTGCCCTCTGTCTCCACCAGCCTGCCTGAGGCTGCCACCAGCAAGAGCCCAGCACCACCAGCCCCTGCCACCAGCCACCAAGCTTCTGAGCAAGCAAGGGACTGGGAGCCCGGGAGGGGCTAGCGGCCACATCTCCCATGCCCTGCTCGGGGAGATGCCCGAGGGGAGGGGAGGCGCCGGCCTGCGTGGGGGCTAAAGGTCAGGGTTCAAGGGTGGGCTGTGCCCTGGAGGACAGGGTGACGGGGTCATCCGGCAGCGGCATCCATCCCTAGAGCAGATGGCCCATGGGATCCCTGAAACGCCAGCTTGGCCTCTGCACCACGGCCCCACCTGCCCGACCCAGTGCCAGCCAGCTGGGACAAGGAGTCCCTCCCCCCCACTTACGAGTGCAGGCCATGGACACCACCCTCGATCTGAGCCGACATGGTCCGCTTCTCAAACTTGAGCTCTCCTGAGTACATCATGGACCTGCAGGCAGGCAGGTGGAGCAGGTCAGGGCCACCAACAGGAATGAGAGAGAGAGAGGAAGTAGAGAGGAGCCAGGAGCCTCCCAGGTACTCCCCACCTGTGCCCCACCCCCACCCCCCCAGGTCAGAGCACTCACCGCAGGACCGACAGGCTCCGGGCACCAATATCCTGGCAGCCATGTTGGATACCTGCTATGAGGTAGGGCACGAACTTCTGAATGGAGCCTTTGTCCTGGATGGAGCCTGAGACACCCTGTGCGATCTTCACCTTATCCCCCTCACTGTGTGGAGGGTGAAGAGACTGAGCCAAGCAGCCCATGATTCAGGGGCACCTACCCTACCTCTCAAGGGTACCAGCAGAGGGGATACCACCCAGAAGGCCCCCCACCCCCCGCAAAGTAGCCACTCCCTGGCTACTGCATATAAAAGCATGGGTTCTGAGTCAGATGGCCCAGGTGCTACCCCAGGTCCACTACCTGTCCCCTGTGCCTCTGTTTCCAGAACTATAACATGGAGATTGGGCACCATCTTGGGAAGTCAAAGGTGGTGTGGATGCTTAAGGGCTATGGGCCGATATGCCTGGGGCTAGGGTTCAGAAGCAGGGCACCTGAAGTATCGTTTCTGGCTGCTGCTGCTCTTCTCCATGGCATCCAACGAGCCCATGCCCCGGTACTTCTTGAGCCTCACCCCATCCGAGAAGAAGTACTCGCCAGGGGCCTCCGTGGTGGCAGCGAGCAGGGAGCCCATCATCACTGTGGTGGTCGAGGGTTAGTGCCTCTGCCCTCCTTCTGCCCTCGCCCAGCTCCCCGCCACCCCCCCAGCCCGCCCATTTCCCAGCAGAACCCCTCACCTGTGGAGGCTCCTAGGGCCAGGGCTTTGACCACATGACCCACGGTCTGGATGCCACCATCAGCTATGACCGGCACCCCAAAGCGCCGGGCATACTCAGCCACCTTGTACACAGCAGTGCCCTGGGGCCGACCACAGGCCATCACTGCAGGAGGGCACACAAGTCAGAGGTGCCAGTGGCAGCACAGGAGCCTTGTGCCCTACCTCTGGGGAAAGGGACAGGGTTGGACGATATTTCTGAGGCGTAAGACAGGTGGCAACAAACAACAGGGTAAAATGTCACTTCAGGGACCACTCCACCCATCACAGCACCGTGCAGGATTCTGACGGGGGTGGGGGGTGGTGCTGGGGGGTGGCCAGTACCAGCCTTCAGAGAATAGCGCCCCTACCCCCACCCCCAGACCGGTGCATCCCCAGTATCAACCTCTCTCATTTGCAAAGCCTGTTACTAGGATTTGGTGCTCACAGCCTCCTTATGGATACACTTTGGCTCAGGTCATGATCTCACGGTTCATGGATTTGAGCCCCATGTCGGGCTCTGTGCTGACAGCAAGCCCAGAGCTTGCAGCCTGCTTCTGATTCTGTGTCTCCCTCTCTCTCTGACCCTCCCCTGCTCATGCTGTCTCTCTCTCTCTCAGAAATAAATAAAACACTAAAAAAAAAGAAAGAAAGAAAAATATTAATTGTCCAGAGCCTTGAAGCACAAGGTTTTACATGGGAATTCTAAGGAACTAGCACTTATCTAGGGGTAGAGATAAAGTAGAGAAGAGGCTTCTCCAGAAGTACCTGTTGTTTGTTTTGACCCTGTTGCAACCCAAGATTCAGAACAGTGCCTGACACATAGTAGGTGCTCAATTAATATGTAAGTCACTGAGGAAAGGCCCATGTTTTACTGTAGCTGTCAGCTAAGGTGAAGGATAGAAAACTTAAAGGAGAGGCTCTCTGGGGCAACTGGGTGGCTCAGTCGGTTAAGAGGCTGACTTTAGCTCAGGTCATGCTCTCACAGCTTGTGGGTTCGAGCCCCACGTCAGGCTCTGTGCTGACAGCTTGGAGCCTGGAGCCTGCTTCAGATTCTGTATCTCCCTCTCTCTCTGTACCTCCCCTGCTCACACTCTATCTCTCTCTCTCAAAAAATAAATAAACGCTAAAAAAAATGGTTAAAAAAAAAAAAAGCAGAGGCTCTGAAGACCAAAAGGGGCACTCAGTGTTCTAGAGAAATGACTCTCACTAGAGGGGCCAGATCCATCCCCTCAGGCCAAGCCAGGACCCACAAGTCAGACACCAGGCTCCAAGGAGCACCTGTCACCACACAGGGACACACACCAGGGTCTCACACAGCCCCACTTCATGTTCAGGAGTGCACCCCGCAGAAGGACAGGGATCCCCCCTCCCACTATTGCCACATGGCCATAGCCACGTCTTTACATGTTCAGGGACATGATGTCTCCACATCTTAAGTATCTGCCTTGTCACAAAGCTAGTCCAGACTCTGAGCTGGCTTCCATCAAGCATCTCAGAGAAGTCTTCACACCGGCCTTTGGCCTCCAGGTTGGGCCTCCTTGACCAGAATCTGAGAGGCAGGCCGACACATGCCCCAAACTCACAGTAACCTTATCTAACCCCAGCCCCCCTCCCTCCTGCCCCGTCAGTGGGCCAGACATGGAGATTCTGAGCCCAGGTCAGCCCTGAACCCACCATCCTGGGAAGGGGCCTGGCGTAGCAGGCAGTCATCCTGCATCTGTGCGACAGAGAGTGGGGCCCCAGCGCCTGTGGCAGGGCAGTGGGGTGCTTGTTGGCATCGCTCTCCTGGCACCTACCTTCTTGGGTGATGCAGATGGAACCGCAGCCCATGCCCACACGCAGCCCATCCACACCAGCGTCAATCAGGTTCTTGGCCTGAGCTGCCGTCACCACTGGGGGTGGAGAGGAGGGTTTGGAGGAGCGGGGAAAGAGGAAGAATGTGAGGACGGGATGCCTGGGACCCTGGTCTAGCCCCCCAGGCCAGAGTAACCCAGCCCATTTGTTCAGCCCCCTGTGCCCATGCAGTAGCAACGCTGTCACCTAGGGATGCCAAAGGACGCAGAAGTTACACGGTGAGGGGGTGAGGGCTGGGGGCTGACAGGGGACCCTGCACTCACCATTCCCCCCAATCACCTGGAGGTGGGGGTACTTCTGCTTGATGTAGTGCACCATGGCGATCTGATACACAGAGTTCCCTTGGGAGGAGTCCTGTGAGAAGGGGGACGGGAAAGCTTAGGCCTCGATGGCTAAGAGTCCTCACGGGGGGACGCAGGGATCACGAATGAGAAACCTCCTGAAATTGTATGAAAAACGTTATGAGAAAGCTCTTCCCCCGCCCCCACCGGGGAAAACACTTGACGACTCTCAGCAGACTGAGTCTCAAAGAGGTCTGCTTTCCCCAAAAGGTTGAGCACCACTAGTTCACGGTCTCAGAGCAAAGCCCCATTGTACCCCCTGCGTGGACCAGTCCTCACAGCAAGATGTTGCCTGGGGCTATACCCCACCAACTCACTACCGGATGAAATTGCTTAATTTCTTCAACCCTGGCTTCTTCGTCTGACAACGAGACCTGGTATACCTCAGGGAGCTGTCGTGGGGTTAACTGAACTCATCTACGTCCAGGTCTTACAGCATCTAGCAAGTGGGAGGTTCTCAAAGAATGGGAGCTCGAGGTATTAGGGTCAGTTTACGAGTGCACGGGGGCCCTCAGAGGGCGCCACAGTTTGCTCTGAGCTGTGGGAGTACCAGTGACCCTCCTGATTCCGATTCTGAGCTTAGAGGCAAACCTGAGTCTTCATACGCTTCTACTCTACTAAACCACCTGTGCCAGGGCAGCGCCCGTACCAGTACTATCACATCGGCGCCTGCTTGGGTGAGCAAGTCCAGGCGGTATTTGTCATCCTCGCGGGTGCCCACGGCGGCCCCGCACAGCAGCTGCTTGTGGGCATCCTTGGAGGCCAGAGGGTAATCCCTGTTCTTCTTCAGGTCAGTACGGGCAATGATGGCCACTAGCTCATCACGATCATTGACGATGGGCAGCTTCCCTGACAAGGAATGCAGAGGTTCAGGTGAAGGAGCAGGCCTCTCCCCAGCTGAGGGGGGAGTGGGGCACAGGGAGGTTGAAAAACAGACCAGGCTACAGAGTCCACTGAAGTACCCAAACCAGCCACTAGGGGACAGCACCCGCTCAGGAAATGCTCTTAGGGACCTGGACCTCCTCCCAAGGAACAGGAAGCAAAGAAACCTCGAAGCCAAGTAGGTTCCGGAGCTCTTCCTGCCCTGTGGCCTAACCAGGCTGGGTGGGTGGCCCCTGAACACTGGCAGCCTTTCACCTGCTAGGCCACAGGCCACAGTGGTCGAAAACTCCTAACCAGGACACGAATGGGAGGCTGTCCTGCAAGGAGGAAAATGTGCCCTCCCCAGTACCGCCCCTAAGAAACAATCCAGTATGAGCCATAGAAGCATTTTCCAGTGTCTCCCAAAAGACCCTAAGGAATATTATGTCAGCAGCCCCAGCGTCAAATAAATTTAATTGCAGGACTTCTCAGGGCCTTTAATAAGCCAACACACAATCTTGTATGGACTATGGGGGTTAGAAAGTAGCATGGTTCAGACTTTTTTGGGTGTGTGCTGAGCATCTCACAGGACTGGCTACTTGGGGAGACATCCTGTGAAGATGCTGAATAAGGGACAGGTTTTCCTAAGCCAGGAAAGGGACCTCAGGATTCATGCTCCAGGCTGGGATTATCTGAACCTTCCCCCAAGGCCCAGTCTGGTTGCTGGGACAACGCGCCAAGCTCTAAAGAAGCAGGGGGGGCCTGGGGTACAGGGAGCAAGGTCTTGAGCTTTCTGCCTGCTCCCAGGTACCTTTCTTGCTGCGCTGCAGGATCTCATTTGCCTCTTTCAATGTCACACCCGCCAGAGCCACCACCAGCTCATTCCGCGTAGTCATCACCTGTGTAGCAGGAACATTTGCCTGCAGGTTGGCAGGTGAGAGAGAAGGGAGCCAGGCCTCCCTCTGCTCCCTGGTCACAGGAACCGGTGTGAGGCCCCAGGACGTGAGCTTCTCCCTCTATCCAGCCACACTCTCCCTGCCCTGGAGGTACCTCACTGAGGAGGGTGGTGTGGTCCTTCTTGGCAAGGAAGTCAATGTCCCGGGAGGTTACGATGCCCACCAGCTTGCTGCCCATGGCGCCTGTCTCGGTGATGGGGATGCCAGAAAAGCCATGCCGGATCTTGGCCTCCAACACATCGCCCACAGTATGCGAGGGGCTTAGAACTACGGGGTCCGTGATGAAGCCCTGTTCAAACTTCTGTGGGCAGAGACAGGGGAAGGAAGAGGCTGGAAGAGGTCTGGAGGTGGTGTGTGGCCAGGAGAAGCCAGGGCGGTGGGGAGGTGAGGGCTGGGCCCTATGTCCCCATCGTGAAGAGCAGACAAGACCCCACCGCAGTCAGCCAGGGGGTGTGCCAGCCTGTAGGGCTGGCAAGGGAGGGCAGGAGGATGTGGCCAGGTCGCATCTTCTTTCTGGGGACAGGCCTGGTACTTGCCTTGACCTTCCGCACCTCATTGGCCTGGAACTCCGGGGTGCAGTTGTAGTGAATGAAACCAATACCACCCATCAGCTGGGGGTGGAAGAGAAGCATGATCAGAGCCAGGGGCCAACACTCTCACTCTGTCAACCTCACCTCTGAACCCAGCCCACCCCATTCAGTGCCTCCCCCAAGGTGGGGTCCCCACCCAGGTGTCTGACTCACAGCCATCGCAATGGCCATGTCAGCTTCTGTCACAGTGTCCATTGGGGAGGAGATCAGCGGTGTCTTTAGGGTGATCTTCCGGGTCAGGGCTGAAGTCAGGTCCTGGAAATAGAGGCAGAGTCTATGTGAAGAGTTTTACCATTCACTCAACAAACATTTATTGAGCTCCTGCGGGTACCCAGCCTCAGGACAGGCCTGTAGCTATAGAACTGAACAAAGCAGGTGAGGTCCCTGCTATCCCTCCTAGACATTATATTCTACTTGGAAAGAAAGGTGACAAACGTGAAAAACACATATGAGATTATTTCAGTCAGGATAAAGGCCCCAAAGAAAGACAACAAAGCAAAGTGACCACAGGAAGAAGGATGTGGTGGTCAAAGCCTCTTAGGATGTGTGAAAGTGAAAACCGATCAAAGTCTGAGGGACTGTCGTTGCAGGCAGGAGGAGCTACGTGTGACATCTGAGGTGTATTTAAGAAAGAAAAAAGCAGGGGCACCTGGGTGGCTTAGTCGGTTAAGCGTCCAACTTTCGCTTAGGTCATGATCTCGCGGTTCGTGGGTTCGAGCCCTGCGTCGGGCTCTGTGCTGACTGCCAGCTCAGAGCCTGGAGCCTGTTTCAGAGTCTGTGACTCCCTCTCTCTGACCCTCCCCTGCTCACGCTGTCTTTCTCTCTCTGCTAGAAATAAATAAAACATTTAAAAAAAAAAGAAAGAAAGAAAGAAAAAAGCTAGTGCAGTAGGGAGAAAAGGGAAGGGCAGGAGCTGAGAGGCAGGCCAGGGTGGGGAGGGGGAGGTAAGGATGTGAAGCCTTGAAGGCCACAGAGAGGAGCTTAGATTTGACTCTGTGAAGAGAAGCCACTGGTGCAGGGGGTAGGGAGGTCTCAGGCAGAGGAGAGACGTGATCTGATTTACGTTTTAAAGAGGTCACTTAGGCTCCAATGTGGAAAGTGGACTCTATGTGATGAGGTCAGAGATGGGGAGGCCACCGAGAAGGCTGGTGGACAGGGCCAGGCAGAGGCTGTGACTAGGAGAAGGCAGGGTAAGAAGTCTATAAGGCATCCAGAAAAGTAAGTGACTAAGGGTCTGCCACTCAGGGAGAGATCAGGGCTGCAAATACACATTTGGGAAGATTCAGGCCAACAGCTCGTGGATTCTAGGCCGCACTGTACTCACAGAGTTCGGTATAAAATTTTTGGAGATTCATAGGCCCCTGAAGTCCATCCACAGATCCTGGTTCAGAATCACGCCCCTGTAGTCTAGAAAACTCCCCTATCTCCTCCTTCCCCCACTGTACCACAGGGGAAGAGCCACAGCCTTCCTGACACAGGATGCAGGATGGGGAGACCCTCAATGGCCAGTGGGGGGACTTTTCCATCCCCTTTTTCCTCGTACTCTGCTCAGGTCTGGCACAAAGCCAGAGAGCTTGGGAAACTTTGTGAAACTGAACAGCTGAACCAAGACTTCCTGGTTGCTGTCATAAGAGACGTATTCAGAATAGCCCGAATTTCCCCCTAAAACTCCATCTGCATCAGCCCTGGCAACCAGGCTGGGCGTGAGTTTCCCCAACATAAAAGCTATCCAGGCACACTTAGGCCCTCTGGTCTTTCATAAGAATCAGACCTGAATAAATATCAATAACAACAACAAAGGAAACTATTTTCTCAATGCGCACAAGTCCGTCGTAGAATAATCTAACTTTTCCACAAAACGGCTTCTACTCATCAACACGTAACCCTTGGCTTCTACGGTCTTGTCATATATTAACCATGTAAAGGACCTTGTTCATTCACTTGGCTCATCCCTGAGCCCACCTCCAATAAAGCAAGGCACTGTGTGTCCTTGTATTTGTCCAACAACTAATTCTCTCAAGTTCTCTTGCCAATTCCTGTGCATTACGGATCCACAAACAAGTCTGTCCACCTCTTCCAAAGTCGCCATAATTTTACTCGCTTCTGTCATGTCCTTGCTCAGCATTTCAGACAAAGTCCAATCCTTCCCATCTATGCCGCCACACCCACGCCCATCTTCTTTTGGGCCTTCCGAAACCTCGCCGCAGGCGCTGTCAGGGACAGCTCTCCCGGCCTGTGCCCAGCCCACCACTCAGCGTACCCCTGCATCCCCCCAGCTGCCTCTGCCCCATTAGACACAACCCACCGCACTGTGCCAGTTTCTCTGGCACCAATAAAGGCTCCATTCCCAAGAAAAGTCTCCCCCACACCTTGCCCTTGAGCACGAAATCAGCCTCTTCTACCACATACATAGCCCCTCTGCCCCGGGTCAGCAGAAGAGGTACTCACCACCTCATCAGCTATGAAGTCGATGAATCCTGGGAGAATCAGGAAGTCGCTGTGAAGACAGAAAAGCGAGTGTTACTGGGTGGGGAGGGGTACTCGCAAGGGCCGGGGCCTGCCATGCCAGGGGCAGAGACTGGGGCCCTCTGATCCCTGCTGTTCTCTGGTCAGGGCTGAAGCACCCTCAGGTCCCCCACTAGCATCTTGCTGACTCCAGCCTGGACACCTAGAGCCAAAGCCAGCAGGACGTCTGTGGACCTGGGGTGCCACCAAGGCAGTTGGCCCCAAATGTCTATTGCCTTCAGGGCTAAGAGCTCATCAAGGGGCATAGGAGTTCCGGTAATGACACACATAGCAGATACAGTGCCTGCCCTTGAATCCTTCTGTTTTGAAGGGGGGAGACAGCGAGTAAACATGGAATGAACTGACAACAGTTTAGTAGTGCAGCATGGCACGAACACCACAGAGCAGGGGACACGCGGCACAGCCCAGAGCCAGGGCTGCTGAGTCACACAGGGTTCAGGGCAGTGTGGCGGGACCCCAGGGGTCTGAGCGTGAGGCACGTTCGGACAGAGCAGGCACTCCACTCCAGCTGAGCTGGAGCAACCGACAGACGTAGCCTGGGATGGGAAAGGGGAAGTAGGGGGCTTGCGGTCGTTAGGACCAGGACGCTGGGGCCCTGCTGCCAACACTAGGGTGGGCCGTGGTCACAGCTCACCCCGGAAGGGGAGCACAGGCCTGCACGGGTCTGGCAAGGTACCACGCCATAGCCCCGGGGCCCCATGGGCTCAGTCTGCCTGAAGTCCCAGGGCCCTGACAGACACACCCAAAAGCAAACGTTCCACACTTCAGGAACACTCCTAACGGGACTAAGCAACGCAGAAGGCCCCCCACTGCAGGAATGAAGAGCTAGAGGGTGGATGGGAGGGGTGGGGTCTTTAATCTGCCCCAGACCTGGAGAAACTCCTAGAATTTCTCTAGGGAGTTTTCCCAGAAGACTCCAGTGAACGACATGTCAAAGAGATATTTTCTCCCCCTTCATCCAAGACCACCAAACAAATAAAGGCCCTTAACTGCCCCTGCCCCTTGGCAGCCTTTCTGTCGAGGGAAGAGGCCTCTGTGGCTCACTGAAAGGCAGGAGAAGAAACACGGGAGGCAAGGGCCCTTGACATTTACTAAGTATTATACACATCCCTCACCTGGCCCACGCCCCAGCCAGACAGGCAAGAGGGGCCACTGAGGAGTGACTGGGAATCCTGGTGTCTAGGGAAAGTGCCTGCCAAGCAGGGACGCTTATAGGCAAAGGCAGGGACTGGCAGGAGCCAGGGCAGGGATGCTTTCAGGTCACAGGTATCCCCCCTCCTCCCAGTCCCAGGTTCTGATGCTCTTTCCTGGCATGGACACAGTCCTGCAGCCAGGAGGGCAGCTAGTGCCAGGCCTGCAGCCTGCAGGACAACTGGCCCAGAGCCCAAGGAAAAGCGAACTAAGCCAGGGGCTAACAGAGAGGTCTCACCCTCCTCCAAAATCCCATGTGGGGTGGGCTTGGGGTGGTAGTCACAGAATACTCCTGTCCAGGGGGGCACTAGTGCTAACCTGTGGGCAGGCAAGGGTACAAGTGGAAGGCTGGATGGTCCGTGGGAACAAGGAGCCATCCCAACGGCTCAGCTGGGCCTGTCCTGGAGGCAACACCCAGGAGAGGTGACTTAGCTGGACTCCAGGGTCCCTTCTGCCCTTATGTGACGCTGGGAGTGAGAGGGTGTCCTGGACCAAGGTCTGGAAAAAGTCTCTCCGTAACTCCCCCATCTCCAGTTCCCACAAGCCCCAAGGCCCCTCCATGGGGCCAAGATGCCCAAGAGAGGAGGAAGGGGGCAGACCGTACCCGGATCTGGCCATGAACGGGGCAAAGCACCGAGGGCCCGCGATGTCGCTATGCCACGTCCGTCTGCTCTCAGCGCGGGCCTCCTTCCTTCCCTTGCCCAGCCCCCTCCCCCCCCTTCAGTCAGTCACTCGAAACGGGCCGGAGGACCCGGGCGTCACCGAGGGGGAAACCGTGCACGTGTGGCGCCAGGGCCTGGGGATCGAGGCGCGTTGGTGAGTGCACCGAGGTGGGGCGAGGCCCCAGGGGCTTACTTGTAGGTGAGGCCGTCGGCGTTGGCGAAGAGCTGCTGCGCGGTGAGCCCATCCTCGGGCACGTAGCCGGTGCCGCCGCTGATCAGGTAGTCCGCCATGCTGCCGGGAGACACCGCGACCCGACATAAACACCCGCGCGGGCCGCCCCGCTGCTGTTGCTGCTTTCGCTGCTGTCGCCGCCGCCGCCGCTGCTGCTGACGCCGCGCCGCGGCCACGCTGCCGCCGCGGGCCAGGCGGGCCGGGGGCGGGGGCTGCGGCAGCGGCAAGGCGGGCCCGGGGCGCCGCCCTCTCCTCCCGCCCCTCCCCCGGGAGACCGCCGCCTCCGCCCCGCGCCGCACAAAGGCCCAGCGGAGCCTGGCCCAGCCGCCGCCGCCGCCCGCAGTGGCACAGCGGCCCCGCGTACCGGGCGGGGGAGGGAGTGCGCATCCAACCGGGGAGGAGACTGAACCAGGCCGGGACACGCCCCCTCCACCAGTTTTCGTCCCGCCTCCTAGGACCCCCGCAGCGGCCCCCCCCCCCCCCCCCCCCCCCGGGTTTGCTCCCAACCTGGGTGGCCGCAACCTGCTTCTCGCCCTCCCCCTAACCCCTCCAGCCTTCTGGCCCTCGCTGCCTCGCTAACTTGAGTCTCTCTCCGTCCTACTCCCCACCCCCAGGGTACCTCTAACACGGTTTGCCTTTACCCAAGACCAAGGCTCTGATCAGGGCTTGGAGCCCTGAGGAACTGGTTTGGGCTCACAGCTCCCTAACACACAGGAGTTTGTGGTGGTGCCCTCCTGGCAGTGTGGGTTCCCATCTCCCCCAGCATCATTCCAAGGGGGCGGGCATTCTTAACAATGACATTCCCTGACCTTTGGGCGGCCTTGAAGCCCTCTGCAGTTTACATGGCATTTTTCATAAATGATCACATTTACTCTCCAATCCATTAACTGACAATTATTAGGGATTCCCACTTTACAGAGGCAAAACCTTTAGTTCAGAAAGAAAGGGACGATGGGTACTGCCTCTGATCCCTGCCGGGTGCCTCAGCCTGGCATCTGTATCCCCAGCTCAGAAAGTGGTGTGCATATCAGGGTTTTAAGCCCAGAGAACAAAGTTTATTTGGGAGGGTAGAGTGGTGGGGAAGGTGAGGGAGGATCATAGGCCTGGCTTAGGTAAGTATGCACACAAATTAGGACAGAGGTTATGGAAGTTTGGAGGATTTCCCAAAGCAGAAGTTTGGTGGCCCTGTGGGCCCAGCAAGACCCAGATTTCTACTTGGGGGCACTAAGATTTGGTAGCAAATTGACTCACATGGGAGAGGTCGGGTGGCAGGGGGGCAGACCCTTTGACCAGAACTGCTAATGCTACTCCCTGACCAAAAGCTAGAGAGCAGACCCCCAACCCACATTCCAGGGTGTCCTTCCTCCTCCTCCTGTGGTCGCCCGCTGCAACTTACTTCTAGGTAAGGGAAGAGAAAGGCAAGGCAGGGACACAGTCCTCCCCCTGGCAAGGTGGCTGTCTGTGGTGCTCCCTCCCTCCCTCCCCATCCCTGGGAGGCTGGATTTGTTTACCTCTCCACGGTTTGGTGGCAGCCAGGCCCAGGGGAGGCTCCCTGGGACGCCCAGCCTCCCCCAGTGACACCCCCGGGACCCTGCCAGGAAAATACAGACTGTTCCATCTGTGTGCAGAGGAGAGGGGGACTGTCCCACAAAGCTAGGGCGACCAGGCCCATGAGGCTAGTGCTGAAGGAGACTCGCAGATTCCGGTGTCCTGCTTCCTCTTACTGTGAGGGATGAAGACATCAGACCCCTACCCACCCCCCAAGATTCCCTGCCCACCTGCGGAGCCCTGAGGAGGGCTCCTGATAGGGACTTCTGAAGGCGCTCTGGCCCTGGAAAGGAGGGAGTGGGCCCACCAGAGTTCTCTGCTGAGTGTGCGTTGGAGCCAGCTTGCGGAGAAGCCTCCTCTGGCTCCTCAGCCCTCACGGACTCAGCCTGAGAGCCCATGCCCTTAGGGGCACAACACTAGGACCTCGCTAGGACCTCTCATTGGCCATCTGGAGGCAGAGCAGTGAGACAGGTGAAAGAAAGGACCCTGGCCATTCAAAGCTCTCTGGGTCATTTTTCTCGCTGTAGGACAGGGCTGTAATGGCATTGCAGCAGAGCACAGCTTCCCCTGCGGTCTCTCTAGATCTCTAAGGGTCCTGCCCTGGGGCACTATGGTCTACAGCAAGGGTCAGGAATGGGTAGGTACTACTCAGGAGTCCACCAGAGCTGGGGCCCAGGACAGCAGGTGGATTCTGCCATCTCAGATGACCTTAATGTGACATCTGCCCCAGCCTAGAACTTGGCCCCAGGGGAGGAGGCTGCCAGGCTGAGTTATGAGGAGGGTCATTTTCCCAGTGACGACAGACGGTATGGTCCTCCTCTTCTGCTGCCTCACCCCGGCACCCCCCCCCCCACTCCCCCACCGCCATGACCTGTGTCAGGACTCCTCATTACTCTAAGCTGCTGGGCTCAGCCCTGGGTTAGGCTGTCCTTTTCCAGAGATGTTAATCCATCCCCGTGGCTTTCCTCCTCCCTCTTCCTGATCTTCCCCAGCTGCTTCCTCCATGGGGAGGAGACACCGAGGCAACCAGTGGGCCTCCTCAGCCTGAGGAAGGGCTGTTGGTCCCTGAGGCTCCCCACCTAGCAGCTGTGAGGCCAGGAGAGCAGAGGAGCAGGCCTAAGCCCCTTCTTCAGGGTAGTGGGGAGACAGTGCCCAGGCTGGGAGCCTGGAGGCCTCTGTCTGGTCCAGGGCTGTTTGAAGGGACAAGATTTCAAAACAATTTTGAGGGAAGGGTGGAGATGAGGAGAAGAGGTAACAACAATAACGTTATAGCACTGTTGAGCTGGGACAGGGGACATGGCTTGGTCAAGTTCAAGCCAGAGAACAATAACACTGGCCTCAAACCCAGGACCCAGGATTTCTCATCCAACCCTGCCCGCCCTCTTCCCAGAGCTCTAAGCCAGTGATAGCAGACGGAGGTCTAGCCGCCAGGTTTGGAATCTCATTACACCACCTGGCTGGGGCTCAGGTTTTCCACAGGTTCTTCGGAGACTGGTGGGGGATGGGGATGGCCCCTTTGTGCACAAGTACAATCTGGAGAAGGAATGCTCCTTCGTGGCCCCAGTCTGGGCTCTGAAATGATACTTTTGCAATACCTGCTCAAACCAAGGCACTGCCTCCATCGAGTCCCAAAGTGCCCCAGCCGGCTCCCTCAACCTTGTCTGGCCTCTCGCTATCGCCCTGGACCCTGCACCTGAGGAGCTGGATTTCCTGGATGGGAGGAAGGATAAGGCTGCCTGAACCCGAGTCAATTCTGGAGAGGCAGCCTGTGAGGGCAGGAGGGGTGGGGCTTCACCCAGCAGCCCCTTAAGCCCTTAAAAGTTCTTACATAAGCCGCCAGCCCCTGTGCAGAGCTGCAAGACTAATTCCCCCAGACCACCCCCCCCAAACCCAGCTTCCCCAGGTCACCTCAGGCTGCTGAGCACCAACAGATGGGGCAGAGAAAGAAGTGCAAATCCTCTGGACCGGAAGGACAGTGAGATTGCGTTTCAAACTGTGATACAATCCAGAGATTAACCACTGTCTCCTTTTCAGCCAGCCCCCTGGGGCCCAGCTCAACACCCTCACTCTTCCTCCAGTGAAACTTACAGACCCCAGCAGGCTAAGGGCAGGAGGGGGTCCTGAATCTTAGAAGGAACCCTGAGGCGAGCTGCACTGGCAACCTCATCAGACCTCAGCGAATGGCGAGGAGGGACAGTGTCCTCGCTCGGCTCTGAGGAAGCATCCATCTGGACATCTACACCTGCCAGTAAGACTCTGGAGAGAGCTCTAGGAGGAAACAACTAAAGAAGGAGTAAACAATGCTGGACAGGACTCCAACAAGCACTGTTTGAACCCCAGGAGTTGGAGCCATTTGGACCAGGTATCGTCGGGTGGTGTAGTCGAGGTCCGATACAGAGCTAAGATTTTACGGAGCGTTTTCCTGACCTGCTCCCATATTGCAGCTCAGCACCGAACCCTTTGCACTGCTCCTGCCCGCAGCCCCCAACCAGAGCAAGGTGCGTGGCGTCGGAACCCGATTTCAGGAAGTTAGGAGTTGAGGCGGTTAGAGGGCAAGGGTGCTGGGGCCTGCTCCTCCCCTCCCCGGCAGCGTCGCCGAGTTCCCGGAGCCGCCGCGCCCGCCCCGGACGCGCCCCGCGCGCTCTGCCCTGGGCGTCACCTCTCGGGCTCGTAGCCGGCCTGAAGCAGACGGGCGCTGTACCGCTGCGCCGCCGTCTCATGTCCCGGGTGTTGCCGGGCTCCGGGCTCCGGAACAGCGGCGGCTTCGCCTCCCTGTAGCGGCAGCAGGACTGGCCCGGACCCCGCTAGAGGAGCTAGCGGTCCCTCCATGCGGAGGCCGCTGCTCCGGGCGGGCGGGAGCCTCTCCGCTAGGAGGTTCCCCGGGCCCCCGCTGGGGAGTGAGCACTGCCTAGGCGGGTGCCGGGGAGGGGACTGGGCCTCAGGGGGTGGGGCCTGAGAGCCGGGGGCGGTGCTTGAGTGCCGGGGGTGGGGCATCTAGGGAGAGGGAGGTTCGGCCCTGCCAAGGTGTTCAGACTCTGCCGGTGTCCCCCGTCCTGGGATCGGTGAGGGGATGCCGGAAGATGGCCGTGGAACTGCAAAGGAACCCGCCCCCACTATCACTTTCCCCGCCGTCTGGACCTTCCAGGTTCTCCTGGGCGCCCTCTAAAAAAACCAGAAGAGCAAAGAAGCCGAGCATCTCCAAAAACCAATGGAATGGTCCTTTAGGGTGCCTCCTACCGGCCACCCGCAGACCTACCTCAATTAGGACAAGATAGATGGGGGAGATGATCCAGCTCCGTTTGTCTACTGCCCTCTTTACCTATTCAACAGACTCCCTTACACTGGAGGAAAATAGGTTTTCCTCAGTTCTTAACTGCCACTACTTGAGGAAGGAACAGATTAGGCGGCAGTCTCCTTAAGGAAAGGAGCCTTGTCTGCCCTCGTTTGGGGTATCCCATAACCAGGGAGTAGGGCTCACCACACAGGTGTTCAAACTTGCTCATTTGCTGACTAGAAAACATAACTTTTCTTATTTCACCGTTGTTCTTATTCTTGTCAACAATGATCAAGCATCTAGCAAAGATGACAAAGAAGCGTCCTTGCCCTCAGGCAATTTCTTGGGGAGAAAGAGTAGATAGAAAATAAACACTTGACAACTCTTATACCATATACTTAAAAAAAAAAAATCTGACAATCTGAGGGAGCAAATGGTAAACACTGAATGCCTGGGGGTGTTAAGACGTATTTCAAGAAGGCAGAGTTATGGATCAGACTTTTCAGCAACTATTTCACAAAGGAAATTGAATTTATGCAGTGGTAGGATATTTCATTTTATCCTGCCTGGTATCTTTTCCTATACATGTACACATCCACTCCCCAGATTTAGGATTATAACGCAGTTTCTCTGACTCTTGACCACACATGAAATCCTGTTACCATAAATGCCATTACAGACAATATTTTTTTTTTACATTTTAATGTTTATTTTTTAGAGAGAGAGAGAGAGACAGAATCAAAGCAGGCTCCAGGCTCTGAGCTGTCAGCACAGAGCCTGATGCAGGGCTCAAATTCACAGAGCGCAAGATCATGACCTGAACCCAAGTTGGACACTCAACCGACTGAGCCACTCAGGCGCCCTGACAATATTTTTGCTATTGACTGTTTGTGTCCCCTCAAAAGTTGTATATTGAAACCTAATCCCCATTGTGATGGTATTTGGAGGTAGGACCTTTGGGAGGTGATTAGATCACAGGATTAATGCCCTTATAAAATAGGCCCCAGGGGCACCTGGGTTGCTCAGTCGGTTAAGCGTCCAACTTCAACTTCCACTCAGGTCATGATCTCGTGGTTCATAGGTTTGAGTCCCGCGTGGAGCTCTGTGCTGACAGCTCAGAGCCTGGACCCTACTACAGATTCTGTCTCCCTCTCTCTCTGCCCCTCCCCCACTCGTGCTCTGTCTCTCAAAAAATGAATAAACATTAAAAAATTTTTAATAAAATAAAAAAGACCCCAAAAAGCTCCTCCACCCCTTCCTCCTTGAAAGGACACAGCATCTATGAGCCAAGAAACAAACTCTCACCAGATATCAAATCTGCTATTGCCTTGATCTTGGATTTCCCAGCTTGCAGACTGTGAGAAGTAAGCATTTGTTGTTTAAGCCACCCAGTGGTATTTTTGTTCTAGCAACTCAAAGGGACTAAGACAATTTTGTATAACAAGATTATTTCCATGGTCCTGCAAATCTCCCAAAGAGGCAAGGGTAGACTGATATTAACTTTACACAATAATAAAGTCATGTTTCTGGTCCCTAATCATGAACTTATCATTCTGTTCACAAAAAGAGGCAATACACAGGTTTATGACTGTAAACAGGAGCAGTAATATATCATCCTAGCCATTGAGTGAGCCTAGGTCCAGGTATGGACTTCCTAATATAAAATCACTCAAGTCATAAACTCTCTCTGAGCCTCAATTTCCCTGTCTTTCAAATGGGATTAATAATATCTATCTCATAACATTGCTTTGCCATTAGTGAGATAACACAAGTAAAGTTCCTGGCTTTTGATAGGTTCTTAATAAACAAGAACAATGGTTATTGTAAACTAAGCGGTAGCTAAGTTCTGCACTTTTGACTCACAGCTAAATGCAATATATTATAATTTCTATTGCATATTCATTCAACAAATGTTTATTGGGCACTTCCCATGTGCCAAATTACATGGTCATTGTCTCCGCTCCTGTGAGCCTTAGAAGCCACTGGGGCAGACAGACAAAACGGGCAAGGAGACTACGGTGTGAGAGGGGCTCTGAGAGGGAGGAGACCTTTCTACAGGGCCAGACTTCTGGGCAGCACACAGAACATAGCCAGTTGTTCTGAGAAGGAAATGAGTCAGGCTCCACTTCAAAGGCCACTGGAAGTAGGCAGTATGATAAATAAATGATACACATATACAGAATAAGTGGCCCCGAGCAGTGATCAAGATCTGGCCTCTCACTACAGGGCAGTTCTGTATTTTCTCCAGAGCTTGCTGGCTTCAAATGAGATTTTCTAGCAAACTATTCATTAAAACAATCACAGTTTGATGGGATAACCCGAGGGCATCAGCATTTTATATGAAGTTTCATATGAATCCCTTCATATGAAGGGATTTTACCTGCAGTATTGTCTAGACCAGTGGTTCTCACTGAGATATTTGGCAATGTGTAGGGAGATTTTTGGATTGTTATGACTAAGGGAGAAAAGGGTGTATTACTGGCACCTAGTGGGTAGAGGCCAGAGATGCCATTAAACATCCTGCAGTGCACAGAACAGTTATCAAGTCCCAAGGTCAATAGTGCCAACATTGAGAGAAACGCTGGTCTAGAGGAACTGTTTGAAGAAGTTGGGACTAAAGGAAAACTACTTTATCTTCCTAAGCCAGCAGGACAATGGATTGTTTCAGTTGTTTGTATATAAAAGATCTATGTATCCTCACTGGGACCGTTTCCTCATCCAAGAAATGAGAGTATTGGATTAGATCTTGTAGAAAGCCCTTTCCAGCTTGAAACAAAGCAGATGAGTCAAATACTGAAGGGATCAAGATGCAACTAACATGGGGCTATAAGATTAAGGGGTGGTGGTCAGTCTGGGTGCTAGTCTGTTTGTACTCCCTCATCTTCCAGACTTCCTGAAGTTAGGTGCACCATCTATTCATCAAAAATGTATGGAGTCCTACTAAGGGCAAGATGCTATGCTTAGGTGTTAGAGGGGTGAACAGAGGATTTAGGTACAGCTCTTCCCCTTGAGTTACCCACACTGTAGGAAGGTGGAAAAGGCAAGGCTAAGTACAATATGAGAGGGAAACTAATGGCGAGAAGACCAACATTAAGTATATACACATCAGGCACTAGAAAAGGCAATTTGCCATCCTTTTCTCAACAAACCTGCTTCTCATGACTTATGTCTATTTCTCAGGCGAGGAAACTGAGGCTCAGGAAGGTGAAGCAGTTCGTCCACAGGCAGAGAGTAATGATTGGTAGAGCCCCATAAGACCCAGGGCTTGTTTACTCCAACACTGAGCCCTCAAATACCATCCTAGTAACCCTCATCTGCTCTACCCACGTACAGACCTGGACACCATCAGCAGAGAATCTAATACAAGGTATGGCTTTTTGCAATGAACTTCAAAGGAAGGTTCAGATTCTTTTGTGATTCAGATTGTGATCTGAACAAGTTTTTCCTGAAATAAGTGGAGTTTAGCTTGGAAATATTTTTGTTATATAGCTGGATGGTTCAGTCGGTGAAGGGTCTAACTCATGATTTCCGCTCAGGTCATGATCTCACAGGTTCCTGTGATCAGAGCCTGCATGAGGCTCCAGCGCTGAGAGCTGAGAGCTGATAGCTGATAGCATGGAGCCTGTTTGGATTCTTTCTCTCTGCCTCTCCCCCTCCCACCCCACCTCACTAGTCTTTCTCAAAATAAATAAATAAACTTTAAAAAAAGGAAGGGCACCTGGGTGGTTCAGTCGGTTAAGCCTCGACTTTGGCTCAGACTAAGGTCATCATATCTCGGGTTCATAAGTTTCAGCCCTGTGTCGGGCTCTGTGCTGACAGCTCAGAGCCTGGAGCTGCTTCAGATTCTGCATCTTCCTCGCTCTCTGCCCCTCCCCCACTTGCTCTCTGTCTCTGTCTCACTCTCTCTCTCTCTAGCTCTCTCTCTCTCAAAAGTAAATAAACATTTAAAAAATATCTTTAAGGAAATATTTTCTTTATGGGTCCCATTTATTGTAAAATTTCTGTAGCAGACATCACAAAGTTCTTTGTTAAGAATCGCTCCCTTGATGTGGGAAGAAAGAGGACTGACCTTTTAGGGACAAACATGAACATCTCTACCCCGTGAAAGTGTACTTAGGCCAAAAGGGAGTTGTAAGGATCACTTCTACTTGCACGTCTTACAATTGCGAAAGTGTGTTTGATTTGTTCAACAGATAGTTTTGGAGCACATGACATGTACAACAGGATGCCAGGGACGTTAGGATATAGAAAGGAATCTAGCTGGGAAAATGAAATATTAAAAGCTAAATCACAATATGGGTAATTTTTCTCAGCTGGGGGGGGGTGGCCTCCCAGAGCTCACTTGGCGATGTCTAGAGACGTATTGGGGCATCGCATCCGGAAGAGCACTGCTGGCATATATTGGGTAGGGGCCAAAGATGCTGCCGCACATCTGAAAATGCACAGGATAATCCTTCACAACAAATAATTTTCCAGCTCAAAATGTCAATAGAGCTGAGGTTGAGAATCCCTGATACAAAGCAATCACATGCTCATTGGTAGTGCCAACTATGAGTGTAAAAGTTATAAGAAGACACCTGAAGCCATCAGCTATCAGAAAAGATTCACTGAAGGAAAAGGACTAGTCCAA